AGGGGCGGAAAATTTGAATGCCACGCCCAATTGTAAAAAAAAAAATCCGAATTTCTTTTTTAATATTAATAATATATTCCTAAAATTTCAAGTTCCTAGCTCTTCATTTACAATTAATGCCAAAAAAATCGACTTTTTACCCATAGTGCATTTGCATTGAAAACTTCCAGAAGAGAGTAAAAGAGACAGCAATAGAAACCAGCGCAAACAACTCAAAGTACCTGCGCACTCAATTTACACACAAATGCTATCTCACAATAAATACTCATCTCTCGCTCCTGCACGCTAATCCAAACACAATTTAATTTTGTGTCACTAGCTGCCTGTTGCTCAGAATCGTAGACTGTTGTTATTGCTGTGTGCGTGAGGCACTTTGTATGTGTGTGCGTGTGACATCCGAAAATGGAATTTAGCGGATTCGCCTGCTAATTGAAAAAAATGCCCGAAGCAAAATGAAAAGAAAATGGCAACAGAGTCCACAACTGCTGCACTACTTGAATTTAAAGTAACTTTTGCTCCTATGCAATCCAAATCAATAAGTTATTATTTGAAGCTGGCCCTCAGGCTCCCAACTCACTTTTGCTGGCGCGTCTCATGGGGCTGTGGCTGCGCTTATTTGAGTTGGTTTGCTTTGTGAGGCTTGCGAAAACAAAATCCCAGACGCAATCTTTGATTTTATTGTAAGCAAACGCAAAAACAAAGCAAACGCAAAAAAAGGGAAAAAGAACAAACAGCACAAATGCCATTGCCGGCAGCAAAACAAATGCGCTCAGAGATTTCCGTTAGGTTAGAAAAGCAAAAGCAACGCCAGCTACAAACCAAAAACCTCAAGGCTAACGCACTAAAGGGCGAAAAGGCGAAAAGCAACCGAGCAATCGAAGTAACGGCTTGTGCTGGTGCTCCACTGGCGATTGCTCACATGCGTAAAGCATTTTAAACAGATAAGCAGCCGAGCATGTGTGTAATTTTGTTAAAACACACATGCATACATATGTATGTATATACATACATACATATTAATACATATAAGCATAAACTTACCCTTTCACTTTAACTCAATAAGTATTTTTACATTTACATCAACACAATTAAACTAAAAAAAAAAAAAAATAATACAAAAAAATATATACACATATATCACTAGAACTTCACGCACAACACTCGCGACGAAAGAACCAACGAAAGCAACAGGTCGCGAAACCTAACGGTTAACGGGTGCTGCACTTCCAATTAGCAATTTGCGTAATACATTTTAAACACACATTTGCACAGACTTGCGCACACTTTTACTCTATTATAATGCATTTCAGCATTAACTAACTATATTTATCAACATTTTCACTAATAAACACAATTTCACATCGCAAAAGGATAATTAATGTGCTGGCGCCGCACTACACGAAAGAAATTCGCGAGAAAAACTTCCTTTAATGGCGGACACTGTTAACATTTACATTACGATCCACATTTACATTTGCAAAACTTACCGATCAGCTGCATATCGATAAGCAGGTACTTATCGATAAATCGTTAGTAAAAGTAATTACAAAGTATTACAACTAAACTCAGCTATAAATTAAGCATTTACGAGTGTTTCTAACTCTTGAGCTGCATTCAATTCAAATTTAATATGTTTTAAGGCCTATAAAGCTGGCAAGCCATAAAAATGCAGACGGTGTCAGTGGGCAATGTCTAAAGCCGTTGCACTGCCCGCCTGCTGCACACCTTGGGGACATGAAGTCATCAGCAGCAAACCAGCCACACACACACACACACACACATACACACTCACTCAAACACCCTCGCCTTCCCCTCCTTTTCACACCAGTATGACCCTGCTTGACTTCTTGTGGCTGCAGATCAGGCAAATAGAAACGAGACAAAAAATAGCCCACTGCACCTTAAGGATTTGCTTTTTATGTTTATTATTTTCTTCGCCCCGCCCATCTACCTTATGTTTGTGTTTCTGTGTGTGTGTGGCATTAGCCACGTGGCCGGCACCCTTCGCCAATTCGACGTGCTAGTTTTACACCCTTGTGTGTAACGAGGCTAGACCCCTGCCATCGGCCGTAGGCAAAGCCGCAAACGAAACATGTTGCGTTTTTTATGTGGGCCCAGCCTAGATCCCGGAGCTCGAGGGGTTGAGCCGCGCTCCTGTCTTAGGTCATCAATAATGGCGCAAACATGCATTAAAGACGCTTGCCTTACATTAAGATGGAAGCGGCTTATTGAAATTGGTACACAACCTGAGCCCTTTTGGCTTCCTTTTTTTCTACTATTACCGGAAGATGAGACTTGAGCTCCCAGGGGACTCACTACTTTCAATAAAAATTTGTTTGTACATTGTGGACACTTTTTTTCCTGCATTGGGTGTTATCCTTTTTTCTTTGCTAATGTAAATAGATGAGTTGACCCAAGGACCCGCGCTCTTTGCTGAACTTCAATTTAAAAAGTCGCGCCACAGCTACCAATGCAAGCGCCATCTACGGGCTGTTAGGGCAAGTTACACGCTTTGTGTATAGTGCTGCCAACTTGTTCGCACAACAATATCGCGTCGCCACCACAGCTAATCGCTTGAAATATTTAGTTATCTATCTACTAGGGCAACACTGACGCGTCGAGACCCATTGTGCATTTTTCTAAATTAAAATGGCATATGCAAGCCGAAAAGTAATTAAATAAAGTGCAATACGGAATAATAAAGTGCTTGCTGGTATGCTGCAAATCCTAAAGAATAATAGAAATAAAAACTTATCGTTTGCTGAAAGTAGTGGCTTTTCTGCTTGAAAAACTATGCGCGTGTGCTCGTGTACGTCTGACTGTAGGTGTGTGCGTGTGCGTGCGTGTATGTGTGAGTGAAATTCCAACAATGCGCAGGGAGCGAGCTGGCTGAAATTTCTTTATGCAAAGCGTACGCAACAAAAACGAAGAAGCCACCGATAAAGCAGGGAAAAATTTATATGTGAGTGTGTGTGTGCGTATATATATATGTCGGCTATAAAAAAGTGCGTATAATTAGCAAGTGCAGCGTTGTTACATACATACATATATGTATATATGTACATATATGTATTTTTAAAGCAGCCTACATCAAACCATTGAACTGTACAAACACGCCCATATTTAGTGTATGTGTGGAACGCCAGATTTGCCTGCGTGTATACATATGTGCATTTGTGTGCGTGTGTGTGTGAGACAGTGTTTATTTATTACATTTTGATTTTGCAATAAGCTACTTCTACTGCTGCTCTTGTTGCTATAATAGTCGCTTATCCAGCGAACGGAAGTCGTCGCCTACAATTTTCGTGTTTTTATTTTATTATTTTACGCTCCCCCCACATATACACGCATACAGAAAACAATCAAGCTGTCGCACACATGCATACATACATTTATATACCCACACGCTGCACAGTTTCTGTTGCTGTCAGCGTCGGCGTCGGCGTTAGCAGCGCAGACTCAATTGCATGAGAATTTTTTTTTAATGTTATATCTCTTGTGTTTTGTTTTGTTGTTGTCGGCGCGCAGCGCTGACTTAATTTATTGGCAGCATTGTTGCTGTTGTTGTTGTTGCGCCTGCTGAAAATGAAAGTGTGTTAGTTTGTTTGTATGGGTGTACCGCAAATTGTGCGCCCAGCGAAACAAAAGCAAAAAACAAACAAACAAACAAAATTGACCAATAAAATCTCACAGCAAGTTTTTTTTTGTTGTCTTTTCCTTTTTTTTACAAGAGATTGAAAAGATTTCATATTTTGCAACTTAATTAGGTAAAGTTGGCTTTTTACGCAAAATGTGAAAGAGCAAAGAGATAAAAGTAGAAATATATAAATATAGGAATGCAATCTGTGTACATTTAGTTCTATATTAAAAATATGAATATACAAAATTATATATGTATGTATTTATATCATTATAAAATGCAAAACTGGCCTACAATTTTTCGCCTTAAGTCATTAAATATTCTGTTTGAAAAGTATGGAATTATTTAATCCAATTAATTTTCATTTTAAGCTGGCTGGCATTAAGTTCTTTAACAGTATAGTCAAAAAAGAAAAAAATAAATAAATAAAAGAGTTTAAAAAAAAATATATAAAAATGAATATAATTTAATTTAAAATATTGCAGAAATGCATTTTAAGAAATAAAGTAATGAAATTTTAGATACTAGAATATTTCTGTATAAAACAATTTAATTTTGGTTTATTTTATTTATTAACATTAAATGTGTAATTTATTAACATTAAATTACATAAAATATAAACAAAAATTAATTTAATTTTTCTTAACATTTAAAGCTATAATGTTATTATAATATTATAAAATTATTATTACACAGCATTATACAAAAAATTTCTTTTTATTGTTTTATAAAGTTTATTATTTAAGTGTTTTCTTATTACTTAGACTAACGTATTTCAAAATAATTTATTATAAATAGTGAGCAATTTTTTTTATTTATTTATTATATATAGCAAGAAAAAAAATTAATAATTGTCAATTATTTTTTGTTGAGCCTCAGACAGAGGTAATTCTTATCACTTAAATGCAAGGTGTTAAACTTTAAAGAAACGTGTTTTTTTTTTGCGATAACAGGGATTAAATAACAAATTTTAATTTGTTTTCAGAAAAAAGTCTAATTATATATTTTTATAAATAATTTCATATTTAATCTTGCAATTAGCTACGCTGAATCTTATAATTTCTGATTAGATTTAAATGATTATAATATATGTATATAATATATTTTTATAGGCGTACACATTTATAGGAGAATGCTATGATCGGGTTTGCTAATATAAATTCCTGTTCAGTTGCATTCGGTGCTTCTTTTTGTGAACTGCGCGCGCTTCTTTCGACTTGGAATAGAAATTATTCTAAATTATTTAGCATATGAAATATTTAAACGTAGTTAATTTGAATTTGTTTTGCTCGTTGCAGCTTAATCGCAAAGTCTAAAGTTCAGTGCACATATCATTCAAGTGATTGGCATGCCGTAGCTGCAGTAGACGAAGCAGCAGCAACAGCAGCAGCATTAGCAGCCCCTTAATGGATCCATATCATCATATCAGACATCATGTGAGTGCCTTGACTTGAATATCTTGAATATCTCATTGTGTGCCCATTAAGAACTTCCCTTTTACTATCTATCTATCTTTATCTGTTTTGTCTGTCTCTTTGTGTACAGTATCCACCCACTAGCACAGCCAGCTCAACAATTGTTGGCAGCGGCACCGTCACCAACACCGGCTCAATCAATCGACCAGAATTGCATCAAAAATGCAATCGTGGCTCCCATTCAAGTGACACAAGTTCAGCGTACAGCGGCAGCGACACAATGGCCTCTGTCTATGGCTCATCGCTGGAGGCCGAGGAGATTGATCTCTCCGGCCTCGTTGAGTCTGTGGTGGACTCCGATGAGGAGGATCTAGCCGAAAGCATGGATGTGAGTTGGTCATATCGAGCAATAGGAACTCCTGTGAATTTGTTGTTTTAATTATTATCATCCCTCTCTCTCTCTCTCTCTCTCTCTGTCTCTCCTGGTAGAGCCTTAACGTGCGAGATGCCGTACGCGATTGTCTCGAAAAGGATCCATCGGAGCGCAGCGAAGATGATGTGGAAATTCTGCTGGAGTTCACGCAGGGCCTCAAGGCATTCACAAACATAACGCTAGCGGTGCGACGGGCCCTCTGCTCGGTGATGGTGTTCGCCGTGGTGGACAAGGCCGGCACAGTGGTCATGTCGGATGGTGAGGAGCTCGACTCCTGGTCGGTGCTGATCAATGGCGCCGTTGAGATCGAGCATGCGAATGGCACGCGCGAGGAGCTGCAGATGGGCGATTCGTTTGGCATTTTGCCCACCATGGATAAGCTGTATCATCGCGGCGTGATGCGCACCAAATGCGATGATTGTCAATTTGTGTGCATTACCCAAACCGATTACTATCGCATCCAGCATCAGGGCGAAGAGAATACGCGCCGGCACGAGGATGACCAGGGTCGGGTGGTAATGGTCACCGAGCTGCGTTCGATCGGAGGCAGCGGTGCAGAGAGCGCCACTACAACGGGCAGCGGCTCGGCTTCGGCCAATTTGAATACGAAACGTGGTCATGTGGTCATCCGAGGCACACCCGAGCGTCTGCTGCAGCAGCTTGTCGAAGAGAACTCAATGACCGATCCCACATATGTGGAAGACTTTCTGTTGACGCATCGCATCTTCATACAGAATCCACAGGAGGTGACGCGAAAGCTGTTGCATTGGTTCGATCTGGAGCAGGTGGACACGCACAAGACCCAAGAGCTGAGGGATCGTGTCACGCGCGTCGTGCTGCTGTGGGTGAACAATCATTTTACCGACTTTGAGGCTGACCACGAGATGATGGAGTTCCTGGAGATCTTTGAGGCTGGCCTGGAAAGCAAAAAACTGTTGAGTCAGCTGCGCCTGCTGCACATCGCGTGCGCGGCCAAGGCACGCATGCGCAGTTGCATTTTAACGCGTTCCTCACGCGACGAGCCGCTTAATTTTCAAATTATCGGCGGCTATGAGCTGCGAGGCGTGGCCGCAGCCACCGGCAATGCTTCGGTTGGCATTTACATATCGCACGTGGAGCCGGGCTCAAAGGCTCAGGATGTCGGCCTCAAGCGTGGCGATCAAATCCATGAGGTGAATGGCCAATCGCTGGATCATGTGACCAGCAAGCGGGCGTTGGAGCTGCTGACGGGCACCACGCACCTGAGCATTCAGGTGAAAAGCAATTTGCTGGGCTTCAAGGAGATTATGCAGGCACTCGAGCATGGCAGCGGCAGCAATTCAGCTGGCGGCGGCAGCGGCGGCGGCATCAGCAGCAGCGGCAACGGCAGCTTCAAGAGTTTGCGCAGTCCGCGTCGTATTTGCGCCAACGATATTGCCAAGCTGCATGGCCGCAGCGATAGCACCACCGAGGAGCTAACGAACCGAGCGCACATGGTGCGCCTGAGTTCCGTGGACATGCTGCTCGATCAGCCGGACTGTGCGCCGCCACAGACGCCGCCCGTGAGCGGCGGCGGCGGCAACATGGCGGCCAATTTCATGCAGCAGCTGCTGCAGAGCGTCAACTCGAATTCGGCCAAGAAGTGCAGTGCCGAGGATGGCAAGCCGGGTGGTTTCATGACGCTGGCGCCGAAGCGTCGACTGCAGAAGGCGTTGGCCAAAATGAATCTACTGAAGCAGCAGCAGCAGCCGCACGTGGGCAGCTTGAACGACAGCGCCGACACGCTGCTCAATGAGCCGCAATCGAAGCCGAAGCTGTCCGCCGCCAGCTCGGGCAGCAGCAGCTGCAATTCCACCAACGGCGGCTGCAATGCCACCACTGTCGGACGTTTGTATCAATCGCAATCGAATCCGGATCTGAGCAGTCTCAACTATGACAACAACATTGAGTCCTCTGGCACGCTGCAGGTCAACTATTTGCAGTCCCACATCCATCGCCCCTCCGCGGCCAGCACGCTGACGAGCAGCTCCATGCTGCCGCCGGACTATCCGGAACATGTGCTCAAGGTGTACAAGTCGGATCAGACGTGCAAGTATGTGCTCATCTACAAGGAGACGACGGCCCACGAGGTGGTCATGTTGACACTGCAGGAGTTCGGCATCCATGATCCCAGCTCGAACTTCTCGCTGTGTGAGGTGAGCGTTGGCGAGGGCGGCATGGTGAAGCAGCGTCGCCTGCCCGACCAACTCCAGAATCTGGCCGAGCGTATCAGCTTTGCGGCACGCTACTATCTCAAGCTAAACGACAGCACCGAGCCGCTGGTGCCGGACGAGCTGGCCCTGGAGCTGGTGCGCGAGTCGGGCGTTCATTTTCTCCAGCTGAACGCGTATGAGCTGGCCATACAGCTGACACTGCAGGACTTTGCCAACTTCCGGCAGATCGAGTCCACGGAATATATCGACGAGCTGTTCGAACTGCAATCCAAATACGGTGTGCCGATGCTCAGTAAATTCTCGGAGCTGGTGAATCGCGAAATGTTCTGGGTGGTTAGCGAGATTTGTGCCGAGCACAATATCGTGCGTCGCATGAAGATCGTGAAGCAGTTCATCAAGATAGCGCGACACTGCAAGGAGTGCCGCAATTTCAACTCAATGTTTGCCATCATATCGGGTCTGGGCCATGGCGCCGTGTCGCGCCTGCGCCAGACCTGGGAGAAGCTGCCCTCGAAATATCAGCGACTGTTCAATGATCTGCAGGATCTGATGGATCCGTCGCGCAACATGTCCAAGTACAGGCAGCTCGTGTCGGCTGAGCTGCTCGCCCAGCATCCCATCATACCGTTCTATCCGATTGTGAAAAAGGATCTGACCTTCATCCACCTGGGCAACGATACGCGGGTCGATGGCCTGATCAATTTCGAGAAGCTGCGCATGCTCTCCAAGGAGGTGCGCCTGCTGACGCACATGTGCAGCTCACCCTACGATCTGCTGGCCATATTGGAGCTGAAGGGCCAGACGCCATCGAATGCGCTCTTCTCGCTCAACCAGATGTCCGCCTCGCAGAGCAACGCCGCTGCCGGCACGGTGATCGCGGCCAATGCCGGCCAGGCGACGATCAAGCGGCGCAAGAAGTCGACCGCCGCGCCGAATCCCAAGAAAATGTTCGAGGAGGCGCAAATGGTGCGACGGGTGAAGGCCTACCTGAATAGCCTCAAAATACTGAGCGATGAGGATCTGCTGCACAAGCTGTCGCTGGAGTGCGAGCCGCCGCACGGCTCCACCTACTCGGGCAGCATATCGCACGGGAATAGCTCGCATCGCAGCGCCGGCAGCGGCAGCGGCAGCATCAATGCCGGCAACACCGGCACCGGCAGCCACAATGCCGGCGGCGATCAGCTGAGCATCTATTCGCAGACCAGCTCCAGCTCGGCGCCGAACTCGTCGCTGTCGCTGCGCAAGCGACACCCCAGCTCGCCCACGCTCTCCACGACCAGCTCGACGAGCTCCACCAGCGACAATCAGCGCCGCCAGCAGCTGCACAACAATGGACCCAAATTCGGCACCGCCTCGCCGCAGGCCGTCAAGAAGATGCTCTCGCTGTCGGAGTCCTCGAAAATACGACCACACCAGCCGTTCGTGCCGCGACATAGCTCAGCGCTGCCCGGCGTCCTGCCGCCGCTGCATCATCTACATGCGGCCCATGGCTTCAGCACGCCGGCCGGCGCTGGAGGCGGCATTGTGCCAGCTGCTGGTGCTGTGGTGCCGCCGGGCGTGGCCAATGCACAGTGCACGCCCAGTCCCAGTCCCTGTGCACACCGACGTCTGGCATCGGGAGGTAAGCATCAGCTGCTATTCTCTAGACTTGGGCGATTAGCGAGTTCTGAGTATTTCCGTGCTGGTTTATGGCTGGATTAGAGAATGTCCATCATTGACTTAGGTAGACGTAAAGCTGTTGACTTGGCACTCGAAAGGAAATTTGTTGGATATTTAGCATATAGAAAATAACAAGAGATTTACATACTTAAAGTGTAGTTAACATAAGCATAATTGAGATTACAGTTAGAGCATATTTTCTATGTATATGGAGATAGTATAAAGTGTTTTGTTGCAGCAGTACTAGTTCTATAGATGTACATATATAAACTAACAAGTATTTTAGAGAACTTTAAAGTGATGTTAGCTACATTACTTTGTATGGTAATGTTAATGTTAATGTTAATGTTACTTAAAAGTTAACATAAGGGAATATAAGTTTTATATTATTATTGATAGGAAGTATTTAGTTTTCGAATCCATTTCATTCTATATACTTTGAGTATACTTCATTTCAACTTGAGTTTCTCTGCCCTCTAATACATATGTGTATATATTTATATACATATATTACCTATCCATATCATTATTTATTATCCATAAGTTTTGATATTACTGCGAGCTGCTATAGGTAAAACAGCTGTTCTAAATTGCTGAATAATCCATTTAAAGGGGAAAAAGCAATGAAATGAGAACCTCGTATACCCTAAACTCAAAATGAAAATGAGCATAATGCCTTTGCAGAAATATATGTAATAGGCAAATAGAGTCGGGACAGAAACAAAACGAACGACTGAAATAATTCCAGCTATCTCTATCGATAAGTATGTATACATAAAGAATAGGCATAGTGTGTATAGAAAAATTATATATACATATATATATAGAAGAGTCCATACAATGTATATAACATAAATGAATTGTATTTTAATTAATTCGATTTCCTTTATTCTCCGCCTGCTTCAGGTAACATAATGCCCACACGTGCGATACACGAGCGCTCCCACTCGGACACGCCCGCCCCGCCGCCGCCGTTGCCCTCGGTGGATCTATCGCTGGAGAGCAGCAGTGTGACTACGTTTCGTGACTTACCGTTGCGCAAATCCGTGACTTCCGGTAAGTGAACGAACAGACGCCAACGACAGCGTCGTAAAACTTTCGCCCTGTCGTCATGAAACTAAACGCTTTTAGACACTGCCTACTAAAAACTAAGAGTTCCATTTTAGCATATACTAGCTAATAATAAATATATAATGCATAGTTGTAGTTGGCCATTAGATAATGTGTAAGGTTAGTTGTGCTTTAGTATCAACCCCCCCGCTCCTCGCTTGCATTTGGCTGACATATATAATATATATAGATATATCTACTATATATGGTGGTTGGTTATCGTTTGGTTGTTGGTCTCTTACACTGCTTTATATACACACACACACAATACACACACACGCACACACACACATACTGTGCTGTGACACACTTTACGCAACTTTTACTCTACTTTCATTGTCACAAACAAACACCCAACAGGTTCAGTATCGTCGTGTGATAGTGGGCATGGTTCCTACGCCCAACAGCAACAGCAGCCGCAGTCGTCGCACCATCAGCAACACCACTTGACATACCAACAGCAACAACAACAACACAATGAACCATCGCCGCCCGTTTATACGGCTGCCGATTGCCGCCTGTTGCAGCAAATTTCCAATAATGCCGTTACACGGAATTTGAATAGTCCCTGTCAGAGCACGAGCACTCCACCTAGCACACCCACACCACCACCACCACAAACACTGCAACAACAACTACATCAACAGCAACAACAACAACAACAGCTACCCCAAATGCAACCACCAACAGCATCCTTGCAGCCACCACAGCTTCCTGCACCGCCAGCGCCTTATATACACATGCGCAGCCACCAGCAGCTGCAGCAAATCCAACAGCAATTGGCCATGCCACCACCACCACCGCCGGTCTACACCAGCAGCCTGTACAATCATCATCATAGCAATGCGACTAGCAGACACCTGAACCACATGCATGGTAAGTTAAGCTGGAATTGGCCAATGGCCCATGGAAACGATAACCAAAGCAACCACATGCAGCGTAAGAGCAAAAGGGGCAGAGAAGAAATGCTTAGCTATGATAGGAGGTAGATCTATAGCAGATAGATAGTTAAGATGATAAATATATATATATCAGTTCGATAAGTATAGGATTTAGTTGAGAACTCATTTCTTAGGACAAACTAAGTTATATCTAGAGAATTCAGAATTAAAGAGAGTTAAGCTAACCTCAAATAACATGCTGTTAAAATGATGTTATATTGATTATGTTAAATACTTGTTGCCATAAGCTTGTTATTTTTTGAGCCTAAGTGTCTATTTCATAAACTTTTAATTATTAAAAAATATATTTAATAATAACAAATTAAGAATATTTTCAACAATGAAATATATCATTTTAATCAACACATCATTTAAGATTTTCAGTTAACAGCGAGTAAATAACATACAGTTCATGCAGCTCAACATGCATTCTGTTAACATAATGTTAGCTAGCTGTTATGCTAAAGCATAGACTCGCTCTTTCCTTTGGAGTTTTATATCTGCTACTAAATTTGACATTAAGCATTTAATATTAAAAAAAAAAAAAGAATAAATTTTCAATAAATTTATTTTACGATCTCTATCATTTTTATAAACATTACTAAGAAATGTTTCATATTTTTATATATTCAATATGTATTCTACATTTTAATATATAATTTAAATCAATTAATATACTAATATCTCTTCCCTATTCCTCTGCAGGTGGACCGCCAAATTTTATGGATAGCACCAAGTGTACCATATGTCCCATGCCACCAATGAATCAATAAATCAAACTGTGCTGTTTTAACTACTAAATGTTAATTTAATTAGTTGTGAGTACGAAATTCTATTAGGAAAAAAGAAAAACCAAAAACTAATTTGATGTTTTCTCTTATCTCTTACAGCATATATATATATATGCCAAAATTTGTTAAATGGTTGTGGTTTCCATGTCGCCAGCAACAAAATACATACATACATACATCATATGCACATACACATATATACACACAACAAGGGGCACAACCATGGAAGAGCTGCTGCCTCAACAAAAACAGACGCGCACACACAAACACATATTTACATGTGCGCAACCCCATTATCATGAACCCTTTTTTGCTACCCTTTAAATGTTCGAGATCCCATTGTCACGTATTCTTAGATTAAGCGCCTAAAGTTTAGTTTATGCTCTATATGTTTTAAGTGGCTTACGATTAATTTTAATTTAGCACAATTCTTTGTAAACATTTTCCTAAAAAAAAAAAAACTTTTCGAAAAAAAAAACAAATCGAATAGGAATCATCCACAAAGCTGTTGCCTTCTCACGTGCATCAAAAGAAAACGTCTGCAGGCAGACCTATCCAGCAGACTAAATCAAAAACAAAAACTACAAATTTGCAATCAAAATCTCTTTCGAAGACTTTCAGTCGGCATTTAACAAAAATAAAAAACAATTTTTTGCCCAGCACAACAATAATTATAATAATAATGAAAAAAAAAAATGGACAAGGCCGACTCAATCTAATGTATTCCACTTATGTATACCTTAGCTCATACATATATATCTATATATATACATACAAGATAGTTTTATCTATACACACACACATACGTATACATATGAAAAAAATATATATATAATAATAATAATAATTATAAAAGAAAGAAAAAGAAAACCTTCGCTCCGATTCCAAATATTTAGTTTGTAAGTCTATAGATTTTTTCGAATATTTTTCAAGCGTGGTATTTACTTTAATTTACGTTAAATGTAAAAACAAACACAAAACAAAAATCCCAAGAACAATACAAGAAAAGACAAAAACAAAACAAAAAAAAAAAGACAAGATAAATGAAAGTACAAGCAAATCGAAACCAACCAGAAACAAGAACAAGAAAACTAAAACCTGAGACTTGAAAAATAATCAACAAATATAATAATATTATTGATAATGCTAATATACAAGAATTTTTTGTAAACATATTTCACTCACACGTTAAGGACCCCAATATTTTTCCATGTGTGTATGTATATATATATACGATTGTCTGTTATACACATAGATTTACATTATATAAATATATATATACATGCAACTATATACAAGAAATCTCCATATATATTTATATATAAATATATGTATACAAACCTGAACAAAGTCTAGCCCAACAATTTATGTTTCGCCTAAACAAAAAAACAAAACAAAAATTTAAAAACTTGCTAAATGTTTAATGTATACTTGTGCTCTTTTTATGTTTAAGTTAAGATAAGGAAAATTCATGCTTTTTATGGCTAACTCGTAAATTGAATATCAAAATGAAACATATTTTTGTGCTTTTTTCGCTCGAATTCAATTTTTAATTAAAGTAAACAAAAAAATATTAAGAAATGGTCAAATGCGCTTTATGATCGAATTTTTTGTTTCTAAAGTTGGATGGAAATAAGAGAAAACTTATTTAGGTCTAACGTAAACCATCTTTATAAAATCTAAAATCAAACAAAATTTCATTAATTTTATTTTTAAATTAAGAAATTCTTGTTCAGATTTTAAACTACTTCTATTTACTTTTCTAGAGTCTACTTAAAATGTCTTTAACTCCCTCTAAAAAATCTCTAAAAAATTTTATATATATTTTTTAAGAACTCTACTTAAATTTCATTAACTATACAAACAACTTGCCTTTATATTTTATATTAAATTTTTTGAAACAAATTTTCATTCGCATTTATCCAACTTTGGAAAAGAAAAGCAAAGATCTAAAAAAAAAAAACACCCAATAATAATATATTTGCGCAAAGAAAAAAACTAAAATGTAATATTAAATCTGCTTGGCCGTTAAATAAAATATTTACAAAATCATTTTAATTAAATACTTTATGTAATTCATTTAAGCATCAATATGCATGTGCATTATATATACATATGTATTTCAAATATATATAATGCCTATATATATTGCAAATTACTTTGGAAAAGAAGAAAACAAACAAAACACAAAATACATGCAGTATTTCAGAAATTAAACTCGATAAACTATTTTTCTTTATATTATATAGTGAAAGGAAATGCTGAATTTGTTTAAAATTGAAAATGTATAATTTTTTATTGCTTTGCGGTTGCGTAATGCATATCAATTGGTTTATTAAAAAAATGTGTATAAATAATTTGGCTTTAAACCTAAGCACTATGATTAACACAAAATTCGTTTTGTATCGGGTGGAGCGCTTAAATTGGTTGTTTAACAAATTCTTCAACTCTTAAATGTACAAATTTCGGATCATCACAAATCATATAGACAAAATGATCGTAAATGTTAATGGGTGGTATATATATATATATATGTATATAGTAGCTGCCCAATTGGAAGAACAGTCGCATGTTACTTAGGATTACGGATGAAGTGTGTGTGATAACCAAGTCTTTGTGGTTGCCAAAAAGTTGTTCGTTTCTCTTCGTTCTTCGTTCACTCGTTATTCATAGGTTAAAAAAGGCTTAAATATTTCAAATACTATTTAGAGCTGAACTGAGCCCCTTGTTGGGAATTAGTTGCCGCTGAAATTTCGCTGCCACTTAAATTAAACGGGTGCGCTTCAAATAGGTGATGAGCAGATTGTAGATGAACTTGTACTGCGCCAGCGATGGTATGATTTTGTCCCGCTGATGCCGCAGCTGGCCGATGACGCGCGGTATATCCAAGTCCTAGAACATAATCGACATCAATTTACTATATATAGAGTATGTATTAAAATATAGCTAAAGCTCTCACCTCATTGTGATCCAGTGTATAGAGCAGTAGATCGGCAGTCAGTGTCACGCCCGAACGCCCGCCTCCCTCCAGACAGTGTATGAGCACGGGAGGATTTGTATTGTGTCCCGGCGGCACCTCGTTTGTCGATGCCAAACGCACCGAATTGAGCTCCTCGAGAAAGTCCAGAAAATGATTGACATCACGTGGACAATTCTGTTCGGCCCAATCGGCGTATTTCAGATGCCACACGGAACGATAGCGACGCGACGGTACATGATATAAACTCAGCTTGCTGGTGGTGCAACGGTCCGTAGTTTGTGAGAATTCCTGAAAGACCTGAAACTGCAAACAAACAGATATATATAAATAGATGTATTATTTGGCTAGAGTATTTGCTGGCTAGTGTAGTTACATTTCCAAACTCCATACACTGTTGCGTGCTGAGCGGTATGTAGCTCATGTCCTCCGTTAACTGCACCACCAAATAAACGTCCGCCTCCCACACGCATTGCCAGAAGATACGCATCGTTTGCGACTCCTGGGGTGATTGGGCGACGATATAGAAACGCTGCTTCGTGCCAACGGTGGCCTGGCAATGGAAACACAAATTAGAAGTAAAACGGGGATGGAGTTGAAGTGGAAAACTAACCGATATATATGAGGCATTCACATAGCCATGGCGATTATCTCTCGATGGCGTTAGACGCACGCGATTATCATCGTATGGCAGAAAATTGGGATCATGATTCTTCGGCTCGTTCTCCTCGAGCAAGGCGCACGAATATTGCGCATGCTCGCGTCTCTTCGGTATGCGCTCGAACTCCAAATAGAGCTGCGAATCCTGCAGTTTATCATTCAAGATCTGGCACTGTGCGAGGCGATTAAAGAAAAATAAAATAAATAAGGTTGATTAGGTTGAGCATATTCAGTTTCGCTTACCAATTTATCCTTTGAATACTGCCCCGATATGGGCTGCGGCTTGCTGACGCCTGTCGACCAACGATGCGCATTGAGATTGAGATCGTCCTGGGCCAATTTCATTTTCGTGGCCAGCTTGGCCTGCTGCGCGGCCGAGCTGCTGGCCTTCTCGCGGCCCAATGTCGCCGACTTCTGTTTGTCGGGCGTTTTGCTGCGCGACAGAATGTTCCAGCGACGGCGACGCTTCACATCCTTGCTGGCCGACGACGAGCCGGTGGTGTCCAGCGTCGAGTTGAACATCGAGGATGTGGACGCCGATGTGTTGGCAGACAGATTCATGGCACTAAATTGCTGCTGGAGCAGCCCGTCGCCCGTCGGCGAAATCACATCCACCGTCGACTTGTTCAGGCTGGCCGTCGAGCGATGTTGGCGCGGCGGTGCTGTGGCTCCAATGGCGGGCGCTGCGCTGGCCGCCCGAGCCGCACGTTGCGGCGCCTGTGGCTCCAGGAACTGCAGCTCCGTGCTCGCAGCGCGATCCGCGCCCGCATATTTCTTAATATTCCGAGTAATCTCATCGTCCGGCTGGGCATTCACCGTTACCGTCACCACGTTGTTGTTGTTATTGTTGTTGTTGCTGCTGCTGCTGCTGGAGGATTTGGTGTTGGCATGCCGTGCGGCTGGCACTGGCGCGACGGCGCCCGGCGGCGCTGACTGTATGGAGGAGGCGCGTTGACGCATGGCATCCGCATTGGCATTGCTGCCGCCGGTGCTGCTGCCACTGGCTCGCTGCGGCAGCGGCACATTCTCATAGATGGGCTCAATGGAACCGTTCATCGCACTGCGCTGCAACGGCGTCGGCGTCGTGGCCACCGGCTGCGGACTGCTGGTGGCTGGCGGCGGTGCCGAGCTGCGATAGCCACTGGGCGGCAAAGTGGGCGAGCTGCGAAGCGACAAATGACAAATGTTATTCAGTACATTTATTTATATTATGGTGTTTATTCGATTGCCTGCTGCTGCTAATTGGCAATTTGTTTACCTCTGCACAGCTGCGGCCGCAGCGGCGGCCTGACTCATCGCCGACTGGCGCAGCTGGGACATTATGGACGGCTGCTCCTCGATCATGTTGAGGTTCTCGAAGGTGCCGTGCGGCGGCAGATATGGCTGCGAGTGGCCCATGTGCCCAATATACGGATACTGATGCAGCATTGTCGCTCCCGAGGATGTCGGCACATTGCCGTGCATGCCGCCGGCGGCGGCGGTGAGCGCCACAAATTGGCCGCCATTGAGCAGTGTGCGATTGGAGACGAGATCGGGCGACGAGCCCGACACATAGTTGCGATAGCCCTGCAGTGGGCGTGGCGTGGCCACAGCCAGATCCGGCGTCGATGAGGAGCTCAAACGATTCACGGGATACGGCGGCGGCGCCTTGTGTCGCATCATGTGCATCCGCTGTGACAGCTCCAAATAGGCAGCGGGTGACTGATGCTGCTGCTGCTGTTGTTGTTGTTGTTGTTGCTGTTGTTGCTGCTGCTGCTGTTGCTGCTGCTGGGTCTGATAGAAGTTCAGATGATGATGATGGGCATGCAATGCAGCCGCTGGCTGCGCCACGTCCGGATAGCGATGCGCCGCCGTCAAGTGATGGCCGAACAGCAAATTCTCGCCATAAACCGCCGGATTGTGAACATCCGGCTGCGAGCCGGCATAATAGGCGGCCGCATTGCCCGGCGTGGCCAAGGCCAGCGTCACATTGTGCAGATCGGCGGAGGGCGTGCGATATTTCAGCTGCACGGCCGTCTCATAGTCCGGCGCCGGACGATACGTGGGCAGCATGGCCTTCAGGCGTTCGCGTTCGTGTGTGTCCGCGCTGCTGCCGCCATTGATGTTGCTATTGTGGTGCAGCATGCTGTTGCTGCTGAGCAAATTGTTGTTGCTCAGATCCAAGCAGCTGCTGCTCTGGCCCAGCAACTGGCTGTGGCTATGGCTGGCGGCTAGCGATATATTGGACGAGAGCAACTGTTGCTGTTGCTGCTGATGCTGCAACTGTTGTTGATGCTGCTGTTGCAACTGTTGCTGTTGTTGCTGCTGATGCTGCTGTTGATGTTGCTGCTGCTGCTGCTGCTGCTGTTGTTGCTCTGCAGCCGCCACATAATCATATTCCACATAGCCCACACTGTCGCCGCCCAGCGTATTCCCGTTGTTGCTCTCCATGTCCGGGCCCACGCTGCTGCCCAGGCTCGAGGGCGTGTCCGTGTCGATGTAGCGCTTGAAGAACTTGTGCTGCATGATGCACAGCTTCCAGAAATACCGTGCCGTATCCGCCTCGCTGAAGATGAAGCTGCCCACAATGCTCCCATCGCCGTCCAGCTTATTCTGCTCGATCTTAATGGTGCGCTTATCGATGGTCACCGTATGGAACTCCTTCCAGGGGAAATACTGCCGGCCATTGTCCGCATTCACGACCATTCCATTGATGGCCAAGCCCAGCTGCAGATCGTTGCCCAGCGTATCCTTGGCCGCGAACCGCTCCTCGCCATACCCATCCAGCTGCTGGCAGCACTGGATATACATCTCCTCCGCCTGGCTCTGATTGAGATGGACAATGCCCGAGTGCTGCTGCAGCACCTCCATGATCAGGCCCTCCAGCATGCTGTCGTCGTTGGCCAGCCCCTGCATGTTGCGCGGCAGCACCAGGGACTTCTTCAGATAGTCCTTCGACTGCTTGTCGCTCTGATAGCTGCTGTCATATTCACCCTGGCGACAATATAGAGCCAGCAGTATGGCCGTCCGTATGTCGCACGCAATGCGTCCCTCGTAGATGTCGCTCTTCAGCTGCAGAAAGTAATAGAAACGCGTCGCCTCATCGTTCAGGTGCCGCACGCCCGTCGTCACATAGTGACGCACGCGCAGATACATCTTGTTGTCGGCGGCATATTTGAGCAGCTGGCGGCTAAGTGAACGCTCCAGATCGAGCCATTTGTATTCGTCCTCCTTGTCCTTGACCAAATAGCGCAGGCCAAAGAATTCCGGCTGCTGGATGTAGAGCCGTTGGCAGACATTATCCAGGCACTCCTGGCCCTTGCTCTCCGAGCTGATGGTGCAGTCAACGGTGCTCGAAACATCTGTTGGAGTGATAAATATATATATTGTATAGTGTTTGTGTCTGCTAGTTAATAGTGGATAAAAACGTGCGCAGATAAAACTCAGAAGCAACAACAACAACAGCTACAATGCTTGGCAACACAGCACGCGCAAATATGCTAATGTACACACAGATATTTTTGTTGTCTAATCGTTTTTTGTTTTCTTTTGATTGCCTTCTACGCTTTATTGAGCCACAAAAGCACAATCAACGGAAATCGTTGAGATATTTCTTGCTGCTCTGTTAATTAACAGTGTGCGCCTGTTACGCGCCCAATGACATTGCGTTCAAAATATTGGCTGAGCTGATATATAAGTAAAGCTTTTAAGTAAATGTAAAGAAATGATATTTTTATTACAGCTTATATCTTTCAGATTAAACATATTGAAGTTTCAATTAGGTAAATAATATTCCAATTGTTAATTTAAATCGAAAGATAATAATAAATAATTAAACATTTACTTCTACTTCTCACACTTATTACAATTTATTTTACCCAACATTTACTGCAATTATTCTAAGCCAGTGTCATTTCAGCATAAGGTATGTAGCCGACAACTATTAACAGCTGGCGTCTGTTAATGCTGCTTAACAGTGGCGCAACAAGTCAAATGTAAGATATCAGAAAAATGCTGTATTTGTTTTTGTTGTTGTTGCTGATATGTTTTTGGCAAAAAAGCGAATTCCGAAACGAAAACTGGTCGTAACAAAAGCCGTAAATGTTAGCTACGATAAAGGCACGGTTTATCTGCTTGCTCTTGCTGCTGGCCTTATAAACGAAATAACAAACAATTTATATGTTTCCAATTAAAAACGCGCAAATGAGTAAATAAATCAACAAGTGTAAAACTTGACGGCAGCTGCGTATCTTGTTGCCATTGTTGTTGTTGTTGTTGTTTTGGGCGACTCATAGACTTGTCCAATTGAAAGCTTGAGCACTTGTGTTATTGATAGTCTTCTTTCAATTGCTGTTATTATTGCTGTTAAGTGCATACGCCCCCATAGACGCACTTACTCACACACACTTGTACACTCACACTCACCTAGCAAATGATGCACATTTATAACAAATAGATTTTTGGACGTCACATTATATTGTCGACATTTTTTAAAGAATTTCAGTGGCATTTCCGTGGCGTTGTATATGAAGCGAAGACACGCTGCTGCTGCTGTTGGCTTGTTGTTGTTGGTATCGGAGTTGTTGTTGTTGGCCAGCAGGTACCAACGACATTTGCATGTAAATTACACAATTGGATTTTGTTGGTGTTGTTATTTTTATATATTTTCAAGCTGCTTGCTTACAGCTTTTAAGGCACTTTGAATCGAACACAGCTGTGTGTACACGTTAAGCATTAAAATTTTATAATTAAAGCTTATTTAAAGTCGTTGCGGAAAAAATAAATAAAAGCGTTAACAGAAAAACTAAAACGAAAGAGTAGTTTGGTCGAGGTATCGAAAGAGACGAATGAGTACACCACTGTTAGGGATGTGAATTTCGCCGATAGTGCCCGCTAACAGTAAGCTGTTAATCTGCCGTGCTTATTGTCTCTGCAATCAGTACACACAACAATATTCATAACATATTTAAACATATTGTATATTGCCTGACGTCGCACATACATATTTATTTATTTTTAATCATGATAATGTTCACATTCCATAGCACCCATTGCTGAGTTTATTTTTGGTTCCCTCCATTGTGATCTGCATACTCAGCTTAGGAAAGTAAGTTTCGTTAAGTTTGCTGATTGACCGATAGTTGAGCAATTAATGGCAGCAGCACCACTTGAGTAACAATAACAACAGTATCGCTTTGTTAAAGCTGCCGATCGGACGTGGTTTTATTTTGCGTTTATAATTCCGATGAATTAAGCGCAAACTATTTATCAATTACATACACGGCAATTCAGTTCAATTTTAACCGTACACCGACACGGGACAGCTTAACGCAAACATCTAGACTCTAAAATTCCTTATACAGTAATTAGTCAATTACGCTACAAATATAAATTTTACATACATATTTGTATGTATAGGTGCGCCTTCTCGGTGTTGTTGCTGTTGTTATAGCCGCTGCTGCAGTCGTCGACGCCGTTGTCGTCGACGTCGCTGTTGTTGTTGTCCCGTCGTCGTGGCTTCCACTTTAACTAAATAAAACAAATTAAGCGCTCGCGCAACGTCAACGTGTATAAAAAAAGAGAAAAGAGGAAAATCGAAATAAAAAGGAGACGCCAATAACAGAAAAGCATTCTAGGCGCATGCACAAACCTCTGAACGGGGGCAACTAACGCAATTTTGTATTTACAACGCATTCACTGTAAGTTCTACGCATTTAAGATACATACAAATATGAAATATCTTGAGCCGATTGCTCGATTCGTTTCGTTTCGTTTCGTTTTGTATGCGGCATTTGATGGTCAAGGTTACACCAACAAGAGATCAATATATACATACATACACGCCCTCATACATAATGTACACGTGTGCGTATGCGTGCATGTATATGTACTCGGCGTACGTGTGTGCGAGCGAGACAAGCAATATTACTGACGTAGTATAAAGTTCATTACCTGTTGCTGTTGCGTCGCTATTTCTTCGTTGAGTGTGCCAGTGTATGAGTGTTTGTGATTTTCTTTTTCTACCAAACAGGTTGCATGTTCGTTAAATTTTCAAGTAACATAATACTAGGCCCTCTCGCTTGCACTCTCACTGCTTTCGCTTGAAACGTTGCTGAAGCATGCGGCATCAGCAATTTAATTCAATAAATTCTCTCTAGTTTTTTTTTGTTTCGAAATATGTGTGTTAGTCGCGCCCTGCATATTGAGCTGAGCTAACCTCGCTTCTCTCTATAATCTGATGTATGGTTTTGTGTGTTGGCTATTTCAAATAAACTGTTTCGCACAGCTGTTTTCGGCTTTCTTATCAGTATTTCTACAGCTGACTTTCGATATCGAAATAACAGTTGATAAACTTTGAAACTGATGTTTGATTGTTTCAAATAAGCTGTTTACGAATTTCTTATCAGCATTTCTATAGATGATTTTCGATATCGAAATAATGTTAATAACATTCATATTTACGCTTTTTTTACATTCAACGGGTAATTGAAAAATTTATAAAATTTCTACATACATTTTCAATATTTGAAACTTATAATTATATAATTTATAAAATGTCTTCTAAATAGATTATATAACAAATTATTTAATTGTTTTTATATTTTTTTTATAAAATCATTATACATGCATAAAAATTATAAGTTTAAAATTATAAATAAATAATAGAAAAATATAAATTATAAAATTTAAAAATTATGTTAAAAATAATAATCATTTATTGAAAATAGGTAGTAAAATTAAAATCCTTAATTTTTATTTGCTTTTTCTAAATTCTATATGTTTTTATTTATTATTGACTCATTCGAACTCACTGTATTTATTTATGTATTCAAATAATTGAAATTTGTTTTTTTTTTTTGTGTATTGAAAATTATATTAATTACAAATTTAAATTATGTAACAATTATATAACATTTTATTTAAAAAGTGTGGTTTTAAGAAAGTGTTTATGCTAGCGATAAAAACTTTTTAAAACCATTTTAAAACTGAAAATAAAATGTTTTTATTTTATAACAATATTTTTCAAGTTATAATAGATATTTATTTTTTTGTAGCTACAAAGTTTCGCTGAGTTTGCTCAACAGCTTAAATTGAATATTCACAAGTTTTTAATTTTTTTTTTTCTATCTATATATCTATGCATATTCAGTGCTTCTATTTTCTATTATTAACCAAAACGAAATATGAAATAAACATATATTTGTATGTATTAATGTATGCATATATTATATATATGTCTGCTAACTCTGACATTGAAACAAATACAAGCGATTGGGTTTATTGTTATGGCGAGGCTGTCTTTGCTCTGCTCCAATATACATGGCACACACACATACACATACGCACTCACACAGACACTTGACTTGGCCCCGTTGTGTTAGACAAACACAGTTTTTAAAACGGCAACAATAATGTGCAGTGATAAGAGAGCGCTCATAGTACATTTTTGCTCATTCATGCTTACTTTTGTGTTTAATGAACTCACTTTAGTAGACGAGCCCATCGAAATCTCTCGGCTTGACCAGCTCGTGGAGCGCTCTCTGTTCCTTTGGCGGGACAATGAATTTTTGCCTAGTCAACATTCGCGAGCAAAAAATCGATAGACATTTATTTACTTATTAATTTTTTTATATTTTAACTCAAGCTCAGATTCGAACCTAAACGTAAGAGATCTTACAATAAGCAAAACTTGTCAAATTAACAATGGAAATCAATCTTAATATTTGTGTAGAATTTTATTAAATTTTAAGTATTTGGTAAACTATGATAAACGGCAAGGTTTCTTATATGTGCAAGTAAATGAATTTGAGTTTTTCGATCTGAAGAGTCAGCCGACTTCTTTTTATATAAGTTGAAGTGTATTTAAAAGCTCTATTGGTAATGTAAATTTTAAAATTAAAAAATTGTTTTAGTTTAAAGAATAAACAAAGAATGATTTAGCTTTTTGTTATATTTTATATTACAATGAATTTAATTTTAAATTTTTTATTATTATTATTATTTTGTTGTTGTTGTTTAATTGAGGTTAGTTTTAATTGAATGTCAGGGCAAAGGTACATGAAATAAATTGTAGGAATGTTAATGAACTATGCAAAATGCTTACGTCGGATGCATAAGCTAATTCCAAAGTAGATAGAAAATGGAACGAGTAGAAAAGTGATATCAATTAGATGTTCTTTATATGTCTATATAGTATATCAAATATCGTATATGTATGTAAATTTTGACAAAAGCCGAAAAATGCGTGACTTCCTGTTCTCGGAACACAAAAATTGAAGTGCAAATGCTGAATTATATAATGATACATAAGTACGAATTCCTATATATATATTTTTCAATACTTTTGTGTTTATATGTTTTATGAGAACAGGACAGCACGAAATAATTCAGGTGAGGCTACGAAATACATATATGGTATGTTTAGAAATACAAATATTTAAACAAAATAATGAAAAAGAAAATTTAGTTCATACATTCGATATAAAATGATAATATCATATTTACACATAATACATAATTAATAAAATACATCTATCAGAAATATATAATATAATGTTAATTTCTACTATCCAGAAGAGAAATAATTATTATATGAATAAAAACCATTTTAGAGGGCTTTGAAATAAATGATTGAAAAAGTAATTTTTATAGAACTTATAATATTGAAAAATTAGATTTTTTTTAGGCATTTATATAATAATATTTTCAAAGAAATTCGTTATATAATATATAAATTGATATTCAGCTGTGGTCATAAAAAATAATAGTGCGAACATTAAATATTCGACAATGAAATTTAATGAGAATCATAATATTTAAAAACAAAAATTAAGATTCATATTAAGATTAGCATATTTCTTATTTATTCGGGAAGAAAATAATTAAATAGTTTTTCTTGAATTTCATAGTGACTCTTCACAAATGGCAAACACGATCAACAATTATTAATAGCTAGTAACTACATACATACATATGTATATACAAATACACGCACACACAATAAAATTATATATTCAAGTTTTGTTGAAATGCAATTGCAGTTTTAAAAATTTATCAACTAATTTGTTATTGAATATTGTTAATATGATTGATATATGTATATATATTTTAGCTATTATTGTAAATAATATTTATATAATTGCCTTATACTTTTTCGCAATTGCAATACAAATCCTTAATTAGCTTCAATTTCGAAATCGTAATGGTGTTACACACACACACACACACACACACACACGCACTCTACCTGTCCATTTCTGACCTACAAAACTTGAGCAGTTTTTCCGCGCCCGTCTATGCTGTCTTTACTTTGTTTTTGTTGTGTGTGTTTCTTTTTTTGTCATTGCCTGAGTCGATTAACCATTGAACACCTTTTATATTTTTAATGGCAACTTGTGAAAGATACGGAGCAGTAGTACGCCATGGCTGGGTTCGATTTGCATACGTGTCGACGCTGACGATTGTCGACTGTCCGTTGTCGGTTTGTCGGCTGTCGCCTCGGAAATTGTTTAATATTTATTTTTTTGCCATTTGCTGACCACAGCAACAAGAACTAAAATATTGCGCGAATATTTTCAAAGCACAAATACAAACGCACGTAGTCCAAAAACACATTAGACATTAAGAAACCTGCTCAAAATTCAAGGTGCAAAGCCAACGTGTTTAATATGATTGACTGTTCCCGTTTTTATATGTATGCGTGTGTGTAGAGACATTGAATATATATATGTTTGCATATATATATTTATACTCGTGAGATGTCGGTTAAAGATCAATGTTTCCGATAGTAAAAAGGGAAATTGAAATAATAATTTTGTTTTTTTTTTTTGTATTATTGTATAAATAAATGTATAAAATAAAATATATAAATAAATTTGCTTCCTAGCTTATAATTTAAAAACAAGAACTATTCATCGTAAGTCCGTAAACATTCAAATATATTCAATAATATTCGAAGAAAAAAATACAGAAATAAAATAGCACAAATTTGTTGTAAATAATGCAAAAACTTTAGAATTTTGTATTCAAGAATACAATCGAAATGTTCACAAGGTTTTGTTATTTGGTTGCATTTATTGAGCCATTACTGTATAAATAATATGTATTTTAATTAAGAGCGTTTAATTTATATAATCTATATTAAAATATTTGTAGAGTACTAACAAAAAGATAGGCTGCCTAATATATTTTTTTATAGTACTATCCAAACTATTATCTAAAGGTTATTGATCTTTAGAAGGCACTACAGACACTACAATACATATGTATACACATATATATTCTACATACGTGTGTGTACATGTACGTATTTAAGTCTATTTGCTGTACATATAGTATATATATGTATGTAAGTATTTAACACTGACGTAATCAATGCCGTCATATGTGTATATGGATATACATATATGTACATATATTTTGGTCGAAACAATGTCAACAGAAACGTAAATATCACTCGAGTTTTTGAAATAGTACTTTGTGTAGTTCACTCAGTTATCTTTCGTCTTTTGTTTACACTCAGCGTTACGTTGCCAAAAGAAATGTAATATTTTCATCATTCTCAAAGTCTACAAATTCTTATCTCTCTCTTTCTCTCTCTCTCACTCTCTCCTGGGCTGGGAATTTCGTGCTGAGCGTCTGTTACTGATAAGCAAACCGTTTCATTTCGCATAAAAACTGTTGTCGGAATGGGGTTGGCTGTTAGTTAACAGTGCGCTGTTAAGGTGCACAGACGAAGGTGAGCGAACGGGCAATGCGCATCAAGTTGACTGTTAACGCGCGTGTGTGTCTATGTCTATATTGTGCATGAATTAAAGTGAATTTGAAATGTAATTAAAATCCTATTAACAATCACACACATAGGCGACTGTATATATTTATATGCATATGTATGTGTGCATATCTGTACGTGTGTGTAGCAAGACAGACAGCTCGGGTAGATTAGCAACAATTTAAAAACTGATTGCATTTCGTGTCAATGTCAATGCGAGCTGATGTGCGTTAGAGCGAGATAGTGCCATGGCGCTCAGTTTACCGTTAGAACAAGTGCGGAAGCCTGTTGATATTGTTATTTTCTTTTTATACATACATATATACTTTTTTTTTGGTTGCCGTTAGACCCATGCAAAATAGATCCAAAACTGTATTCGCATTAAAGAGAGTTCTATTCAATTGTGTGTGTGTGTGAGTCTTTGTGTGTATGAGTATGGCATACGTGGCATACATTAAGTGCGTGCTCAAAGTGCGATATGTAAATGTTTAGAAGACACTGTTTAGCTCCCCCTCTTTCACCCGTTCGAGCCCCCGTAGAGCTCCAGCTTGTGTAAAGTGTATGCAAAATCGAAACTATCACGCATTTTTATTTATATATTTTTTTTCTTTTCTTATTTCTATTTATATATTTTATTTTATTCTGTATTTCCCTTTCCTTTTCAGACCTTAGACCATGGCCAGTGAACAGGCACCCATTGATGTAGCTGGAGCGGCAGCGGCTGCTGCTGCCACCGGAGATGAGCCCTTTCTGGGATTGCTGGATGTGGCATTGCTGGCGGTGCTGATCGGCGGTGCGGCCTTTTACTTTCTGCGCAGCCGCAAGAAGGAGGAGGAGCCCGTGCGCAGCTATTCCATACAGTGAGTAGCCATTGTAAACCACAACTGTACAAACAAATATTAGATGACCACCACCACCACCAATCACAGGCCGACTACAGTCAGCACCACCACGGCCACGGATAATTCGTTTATTAAGAAACTGAAAACCTCCGGCCGCAGTTTGGTTGTCTTCTATGGCTCACAGACGGGCACGGGCGAGGAGTTCGCCGGCCGTTTGGCCAAAGAGGGTATTCGCTATCGACTCAAGGGCATGGTTGCTGATCCCGAGGAATGCGACATGGAGGAGCTGCTGCAGCTGAAGGACATTGATAACTCATTGGCCGTCTTCTGCTTGGCCACCTACGGCGAGGGTGATCCCACGGACAATGCCATGGAATTCTACGAGTGGATCACCAATGGCGATGTCGATCTAACGGGCCTTAATTATGCGGTAAGTGTACAGTTATTTTTCAATGCCGTGTGCCTGATAAGGCATCTGTTTCGCTAAGCGTAGCGTCGATTACACGATTCGCGGACGCTGAGGCACAACAATTCTTATCGAGCAATGGCACATGCAGATAGCGTTATCTAACTCCCCAACAAGTTAGAAAAGCTATGTAATAAGCGTTGCCCGTTGATAATTTTTGCTTATCAAAATATTAAATTTAATATAAATATTCCTATTTAATAGCAACAAAATCGGGCCTAGATAGAGTTGTACAGTAAAATTGATTTTTTGTTGAGCGAGCAATATAATCAGTCAAGCGATTCAAATGGGCTTGAAGGACGGTATTTATAGATAATTATTGAAATAATTGTTATTATAGGTTGAGAGGGTGAAAACGCGGGATTGATAAAGTCAACAGTAGCTATTATAGTTTAGAAGAGAGTCAGACTGTCTGACTAATAGTAGTAATTATATATTGGAACTGTAATAGTGGATTTGTTTAAGAGAGAGAGAGAGAAAGAGAGAGAGAGAGGGAGACAGTTTGAATAACAGTACTCACTTGTTAGCATTGATAATAATTAATGAATTAATATCAAAACTGTGTATTTTCTTATATATTTATTTTTTTTATTTTTTTTTTTTTATTAAAAAAATAGGATTTTGGAAAATAATTTTGTATATTGTATTTTTTTTCGAGCATATACTGTAGGTAAAATTTACTGTGAGATTGAAATATTCCGTATGACAGCATAACACTCTAGAACATTTGATTGATACAAGGCTAAAAATTATATATGTATTTCATTATATATTATTTATTATAGAAGCAAAAGTTAATTCTTATAGCACAGACATTTCAAAGTTATTACTATACTTTTTTATTTTTGTTTAATAGTTAAGCATTTTATTTTATTTTATTTTTTTTTATTTGTTTCATATAAATAAAAATCTTAATTAATTGCTAGCGTGCGTCTGCCTGTGACGTCACAGCTTTAGTTCCTGTTAAGTCTGGTTCACCTTCTATTAAATGCGCCGCACACTCAGACAGGCCATGCTAGAGCTGGTCACACTGCGGCGCACGTAACAGCTGTTGCTGCCAAACGTGCACACGCTCGCACAACTGTTGCGCAACATTGTTTACTATTTGCGATGCGGAATGTGTGTTCATAATTGAAATAATACAAGTTTTGCTGAATGAAACAGAGATTGCCATGTGATACGTCTGCACTGGCGGCTGCTGCGGAACTGAAACAGAAAACTGGGCGGCAACAACAACGACAACGACAACGATGCTGTGCACGCTAAGCGGCGCCGGCGTCGCCGTTGGCCTTCGCACGCGTCGCTGTCAGTGGACGGGTCGTACTTTGCTCTGGCTATTAAATAATTTATATAATAAGACAACAACACGCGTAGACAACGGCAAACAGATCGAGCATGGTGTAATAACGTTATATGTCAATGGCTAATTACTGTTGTAACAATTGCTTTTCTCGCTTTGCCTCTGTATGCAGGTATTTGGGCTGGGCAACAAGACCTACGAGCACTACAACAAGGTGGCCATCTATGTGGACAAGCGCCTGGAGGAGCTGGGCGCCAATCGTGTCTTCGAGCTGGGCCTGGGCGACGACGATGCCAAGTGAGTGTCCCCAATGAAGTGTCTATAAAAATCTCAATCAACTTGATGTTTATTCAACTTTTTTTGTGCCTTAGCATTGAGGATGACTTTATCACATGGAAGGATCGTTTCTGGCCCGCTGTCTGCGATCACTTTGGCATTGAGGGCAGCGGCGAGGAGGTGCTGATACGCCAGTACCGCCTGCTCGAGCAGCCCGATGTCCTGCCGGATCGTATTTATACCGGCGAAATTGCGCGTCTGCATTCCATGCAGAATCAGCGTCCACCGTTCGATGCCAAGAATCCATTCCTCGCTCCCATCCGTGTCAACCGGGAACTGCACAAGGGCGGCGGCCGGTCGTGCATGCACATTGAGCTGAACATTGAGGGCTCGAAGATGCGCTACGATGCCGGCGATCATGTGGCCATGTATCCCATCAACGACAAGTCGCTGGTGGAGAAACTGGGACAGTTGTGCAATGCTGACCTGGATACGGTGTTCTCATTGATCAATACCGATACGGATAGCAGCAAGAAGCATCCGTTCCCCTGCCCAACCACCTATCGTACGGCTCTGACGCACTATTTGGAAATCACTGCTATTCCACGCACTCACATACTGAAGGAGTTGGCCGAGTACTGCACGGATGAGGCCGACAAGGAGTTTCTGCGCAGCATGGCCTCGCTGGCGCCGGAGGGCAAGGAGAAGTATCAGAGTTGGATACAGAATGCCTGTCGCAATGTGGTGCACATACTGGAGGACATCAAGTCGTGCAAGCCACCCTTGGATCATGTCTGTGAGCTGCTGCCACGCCTGCAGCCGCGCTACTATTCCATTTCGTCGTCGGCCAAGCTATATCCCACGGATGTGCATGTGACCGCTGTGCTGGTCGAATACAAGACGCCCACGGGTCGCATCAACAAGGGCGTGGCCACCACATACCTGAAGAACAAACAGCCGGCGGCTGGCGAGGAGGTCAAGGTGCCGGTGTTCATACGCAAATCGCAATTCCGACTGCCCACAAAACCGGAGACGCCGATCATTATGGTTGGTCCGGGCACTGGACTGGCACCGTTCCGTGGCTTCATCCAGGAGCGTCAGTATTTGCGAGATGAGGGCAAAACGGTTGGCCAATCGGTGCTGTACTTCGGCTGCCGCAAGAGCACCGAGGACTACATCTACGAGTCCGAGCTGACCGAATGGGTCAATAAGGGCACGCTCACCCTGAAGACGGCGTTCTCGCGTGACCAGGAAAAGAAGGTTTATGTGCAGCATTTGCTGGAACAGGATGCCGATCTGATATGGGACATCATTGGCGAAAAGAAGGGACATTTCTATATTTGCGGGTAAATGAAATGGAGTGAAATTGAAATATTTCATTTAAAATTTACATTAATTTTTATTCTCTATATATTTCCAGTGATGCCAAGAACATGGCTGTGGATGTTAGAAATATTCTAACGAAAATCTTGTCCACCAAGGGCAACATGAGCGAGGCGGATGCTGTGCAGTATCTGAAGAAAATGGAGGCTCAGAAACGCTATTCGGCCGATGTCTGGAGCTAATCGGTGCGCGCATTATTCAAACGTTCTCTCTATCCCTCTGCATGAGTCAAACAAATAATGAAAGCAATGAAAACAACAACAAGATGAAAATTATAAAGAACAACTAGAAGCCACACGTTTACATAAGAGTAAAGTCGTTTTAGATAATAAGCCTAACTAAATAAATTAATTATACAAATCGGTTTGGGAACTTCAGCTTCGGTTCAACAAACAAACGTTTAAGTAGCGTTTATATCTAATTCTAGTGTTAATTTGATTGCTTATATGAATATATATACATTATTATGTATGTATCTTTATATATGTATGATGCCTTTTGATTGTTGTGCAAATTAATTTGATGACGATGTTAATTATAAATAATGATTTTAATCGTAATGTAAGTAGTTTTGTATGTATGCAAGTAATTGAAGCCATGCATTCAGTTAATTTGTAAACATATTCTATTGGTGATTTCATAATGCAACTGAAAACGATTTGTGCAATTTTAAATAAATATATCAAATTGTATTTTATTTTCCGAACAATAAATGTTAGAAATTTTAAAAGCCTATTTCTTTAGTTCTGTTAACTAACATTCAATGTTAATGTTAGCTCTTTTTACGTGAGCCTTTTACATTGAACTGTCTGGCAGCGCTGCATTGCAACGGTAAATGCGAAAGTGAAGCAACAAGTGAACAATTGAAAAGTGCGCGTAATCCTACAGAAAAACTTTATTTTAATTTGTAAATACATGTGCAATATATGCTTGTATATAAACTAAGCTAAAACAAAATACACATCGTCAGGTGAGTGCGGCACCCATTCATTATTACTATTCCTCAATCCAAGACACCTGCTCGCTCGAAATGCGGCAAGGTGTAGCGCAGCGTCTCAGCCAAACGCTTGGAGGCAAACATTTGCTCAGATTTTTTCTGGGCAAAATCCGCATCAGTGAAATTCTCCAGATTATTGTCCGCCGTCTCGGCCTTGTCCTGGCTAACTGTTGGCAGTATGCCGTAATTGGCAAAGAATCCATAGCCCTCACGCCGGTGCACCTCGGCCAGCACCTGCTCATAGCTGGGCACCGGCACCCCCATGTCCAGAGCGAGCAGCGTATCGGCCAGACGATTGTGATAGACTTTCAGCAGCTGCGGCCGCTTGTGCTTCAGCACATCCAGGCTGAGGCTCGTGTAGAAGAAATAGTTCAGATCAATGCCCGGACTGCCCCAGATACTCAGCTGAAAGTCTATGAAGATCACGTCCTGCAGCTGCTGCGCTCCATTGTACTTGAAGAGCATGTTGTTCACCCAGAGATCGCCATGATTTAACACTTTGATCTCATTGTCCACTGGCGCCTGGGCACGCACCAAATTCACCCGCTGCTGCTCCATATATTTGGCTATTTTGCCCGCAATGCGCTCATAGCCTGCCCAGCTGCTCACCAGCTTGTGCAGCTGTTCGCCGTTGCCGGCAAAGAAACGCATCAGCAGGCCGTCGTCCTTGTTCAGCCCGTTCGGGGATAACATGCCATCGCCATAGGCTTTGAATATTTCCGGATCCTAAAGGCGAATGTTAGAGAAGAGAAAGGGCAATGTTAATTGAAAGATTTTTTGGTGGGAATAGGAAGTCTGTTTGTTTTTCTATGTATATGTAATTTATATGATCCCCTCTTGAAAATTGTTTTTAGATATACATAGTTATACTCATATTACATTTATTAAAAGTTTTGTGACCTAGATCAGATTGAATTGAAATTTTATTGTTTGATGATAGCTTTTCAAATATATAGAAATGTGATGAACATAGATTTTGTATATGAAACTTTAAGCACTATTTTGCTAATACTTTATACCATAAAATTTAATAATCATAGATCATATGAAAACACTACAATTTTTTTGTATTAGGTAAAAGAAAGTTTTATCTGATAAATGAATATATTTCTACACTGGTATTCATGTTGTCAGAAGTACTTAGTACTTTATATGTTTTTATTTGAAAAATAAGCCGCAGCTTTAGGCTTAAGATCAACAAAGGTTTTTTTTTTGTAAACCACATAAATTCTGCTATAAAAGCATAACAGATAATGGTAATATATTGCAGCAAGAAGTGAATAGCTAAAACTAAAATCATATAAGTCTAAGCTCGTCATATAAAACGTAAGGAAACAATAAAAAGTCTTAAGCGTGTGCGACTGCGAGACTAAAATCTAAATATTTGAATGCTTTGAGTGATAAGAAATCCAAATGTTAGAATTTGAGTCCTCTCGGTCTCTTTCTCATTCACTCAGCTTCTATTTGAGTCTCTGACTTCCTCTGACTCTCCCCTCTTACTCTCCCTCTCTCTCTCTCTCTCTCTCCCTCTGCCTGTCTCCCCCTTTCTGTATATTTCTGCTCCTCTCCCTCGCTTTGTCTGGCTTTGCGTCCCCTCTTACTCTCCTGGTCTTTCTCTCTCTTTCTCAGTCTGCCTTTAGCATTCTAGTGTTATGTTTTAAAGTTATTATGCAGGATATAGAAAATGGAAAATTATATACTTTCTACTTTAATATATATATGAATGTATTCTTCTATATACATATATATATATATCTTCAATAGCATTATAAATAATAATCAATTTGATATTCATTCTTCCTCCTACACATCCCCATCAAATATATATTCCACTCACTTACCATCACTGCCAGCACCATTGAGGCTGCATGGAATTCCGCTAAGCGTTCCATGACCAGACGAGCATGCTTCTCATCCAAGCCCGTTTCACGCGAGCCCATCACATAGCCGAGCCGGCCGAGATCCTCAAAGACCAATGTGTTCTCTGGCTGCTTCAAGCACTGATAGAGTCTGAAAGCAGAACTTTATTAAGTCATTCGCCAGCTTTAGACTAATGGAATCTCCCATTACTTGGGTCCAAAGCGTCGCTTGCACTTCATGAGCAACTCGAGTCGCGGCAGCAGCTCGTAGTACGTGATCTTCTCCTTCAGGTACACCTGCAGATCCTCGATAAACTCTATGGAGTCAATGCGCGGTATGCTCTTCACAATCACGCCCGTTTGCTCTTCCTTGCCATCCCTTCGGCGATAGGTCAGCTTGACGCGGTAGATTAGACTGCAATAGTTCTCGCCGGTGCTGCTGCCCAGCGCGCAGTGGATGCCCACCAACTGGACATGGGACGTGCGTAGCATGGTCTCCAGCACCTCCTCGAAGAAGGCAACATCCAGGTGCTTGGGCGGCGATGCCACAACTGCCTGATCGTAGACAATGCTGCACATGTTGTGATCTCAAGTGGTTTGAAAGGCTTGAACGAATCGCTCGGCATTTTATACGGATGTACTCACAAAGGCGAATGTTTGTTTTATATTCGCGTAATTAATTCTATCTATATATATATAAATGAATATAATTTCGTCTAATAGCCGACAATCGCGCCTGCTTGTCTCATTTTGTATATAGAGAAAATTCAACACGCGACCTTTTAAATCACACACACATACATACACACATATGTATATACCACACGCATAGTAACTGTCTCGAAACCAGTTATTTTAATTTTACCAAATACGTTTTATTAGTTTCTCTCGTTGACTTGCTTTGTCGGCTAGCAAGTTCGTCATTCGGAAATTATCAGATCGCATTTCGTAGGCCCACCCGCTTATGTCTACGATCAGCGTAATCTTTATCTCCTGCCTCTTGACTCTCAATCGAATCGAGGTGCGCCTCCAGATAATCAAATAATTTTCTCACGTCTCCAGCTTTTATTACCCCTTCTCACTCCCACTCTCTCCCACTCTTTCTCTTTTTATTAAATATGATGTAAGCAATTTTATTATCATTTTATAATCTTTGACAGACATGCAAATTATTGTTGTTCTTCTCCAATTACTTATAATTATTATTCAAGTTGTTTTCGCCATATTCAAATAGCCCAAATGACATATTAATTATCATCCATAATCCTATTCGCAATTTGAATATTCTACGTTTGGTACGTACCCAATGCGACTGTTCAGTCTCAACTCAATTTCTAGACTCGTCTAATCTTCATTCCATTGAGATTCACAGCGGAATGCCAGCCGATTAAAGAGTGCGCAATCTTTTAAATAAATCACTTGGCAGACAGCTGGGATGATATACTTACACATATAGTATAAACCCATTGAACAACGGGAACTTGGTGCATATTTGATTATGTTATTATGTAAGAGAGGAAATGTATGAATGATCCTAAACTATATACATATATGTATGTATAGTGTATATATCTGGTTGTTTTAGCTATATAAACACAATCAATCTCTATACGTATAAGCATCAGGTTTTTTACTCGCGTGAATCTTTACTTCTCTCTTTGTTGATTAAAATGACTTTTAGATTTTTTAGTAATACTGTACGGCATATCCGTAATATTTAGAAAAGGGCTAGGCGTGATAGGTAAATTATTGTCAACTTAGGTTCTATTTACCTTTTGATTCGTAAATGTTTTTCTCCCACACTTTATCTGTTTATAATAGTAATTTTCTTATAACAGCTATAGTTATACTAAAACTCTTATGTGATCGGAATGACATGCGATCATGCAATGCTTAAAATAAAACGGAATTCGAATGATATTTTGCTCCGGGGTCGTCGGAAATAAATGCATAAAATAATTAAAAAGCAGTTGAGACTCAATTGAGCAATAATGTAAGGAATCATGTCATTTTTATTGTATTTGAGCCGCTTTGAATGAGAACCAAATGCATTCGCTGCTCATTGCCTTCAATCGAAGACATGCAAGTCATCCAAACGCTTCAACGTGAACTTGAGGCTCTCGAGAGTGCGTGAATTGCCTTCGAACATCAGTTGAACTTTCTGCCTGGCGAACTCCTCGTCGTGAAAGTTCTTCAACGTGTTGTCCTCCGAATCGATGCCGATCATGCTCATTAGCGGAAAGAAGCCGAAGGCGACAAAAAATCCATAGGCCTCCCGTTCACGTATCTCGGCCATAATGTCCTCATACTTGGGCAAGGGTTTGCCCCACGGCAGCTGCTTCAAGCAGTCCAACAGTGCATCGAAATACGCATCAATTAGCTGCTGACGCTTGGTCTGCAGCACATCCAGCTCCAGGCTCGTGTTGAGAAAATAGTTGACATCGAAGCCCAGACTGCCGTAGAAGCACAGCTGGAAGTCAATCTGCCAGAAATCTTCCATGAGACATATATATCAATGAAATAGAGCTTTCAGCACTTACCAATCTCACCTGCTGCACCTTGCAGTGCTCGTCGTACTTGAAGAATATGTTGTTAATCCACAGATCTCCATGGTTGAGCACATTGTAAATGCCGCGCAGTGGATAAACCGATTTGAGCACACGCTCCGTGAAATGTTCATGATAGCGATAGAGTTTACGTGTGATCGAACCGAATCCCTCGCAGTCACTGATCAATGCCGCCAGCTTAAGCAGCTGAGTGCCAAAGAGCAGCTTGAAGGGCTCCGACTTAATGGCATCCATGTGCAGCAATCCAAACGGATAGCGATCTATGACGGTCTCTGGCTCATGCTCGGCCATGACCATAGTCAGAGCATGATATTCGGCCAGCTTACGCATCACCAACTTCGCATGCTCCACGTCCAGGCCCAACTGACGGCATTTCAACTGATAGCCCTCGCAGCACAGATCCTCGAAAATAATCGTCTGCTCGGGCTGTGTCGTTGAATAGTAGTGCCTAGGTGGGGAAAATAGCATTGTAGAATAGTGAGAAAAAGCTTGAATATAAAGTCTAGATGCAAACTATATTTAATCTAGACTCAAACTGTATTCAATCTGGACTTAAAGTATATTCAATTTAGACTCAAACAATATTCAATTTAGACTCAGTATAGACTCAACCAAGACATAATCTAGACTCAGTGTACACTCAAACTAGACTTAACCTAGAATCAGTGTAGACTATATTCAATGTAGACTCAAACTATATTCAATCTAGACTTAATTGAGACTCAGTGTAGACTCACTCTAAACTAGAACTAGACTCAAACTATATTCAATCTAGACTCAGTCTAGACTCAATCTAGACTCAGTGTAGACTCAATCTAGAATCAAACTATATTCAATCTAGACATACTATATTCAATCTAGACTCATACTATATATTCAATATAGACTCAATCTACACTCAATCTAGGCTCAAACTATATTCAATCTAGACTCAAACTATATTCAATCTAGACTCAAACTATATTCAATCTCGACTCAATCTCACCTGGCGCCCAATGTCCAGGTCTCCTCGCCTGCAATCGAACGCCACATGAGCGCCTCCAGCTTGGGCTTGATGTGCAGATAGAAGACAGTCTCCTTGTTGTAGATGTGGAGGCGTGCCAGTATAGCCTGCTTCTCAGCTGGCATGCACTTGACAATGAGCGAGCATTCCAGCTGCTTGCGTTCGGCTGTCTGGTACTTGACATTCGCTCTATATATATTACTGCAGTAGTTCTCGCCGCCGCGCGTCAAGTCCGTCAACTTTACGTCCAGCACTTTCAGATCCTGCTGCTGCAGGCCATGCTCCAGGCTACGGCGGAAGAACTGTGGCGTTAAGTAGAGCGGCGGCTTGTCCGTTGCATCCGACATTGTGTTGAGTTTTGAGTTCGCCGTCGCGATTGATGGCTTTATATGGAAAATCAGAGTATTCACTTAGTTCAGGTTCAATTAACCCCAACGTAACGTCTTTGGGTACAGCTGTTCGCCACTTGATTGGCTCAATAGAAGTGCATTCGATGTCTCGACTTTGGATTAGCGGTGGCTGCTTTTGATGCACTCTACAAGAGCTAAACTTTAATCGAGCATGCACTTTGATTTTTTATAACTAGGGCATTTTAGATTGAGAAAATGAGAATTAACTTTCTGTTTTCTCCTATTGAATTGAAATTTTTAATTTACCAGTTTAATATTTAAATTTAGTTTGGAAAATTCTAATTTCATTTATCAGGTTATATCATAGTTATCTTTATTATTAAATTCTTTTTATTTTTATGTATTGTTATTTATTTAATATTCAATATAAATATGAGCTTAAATATGAAAAGCGTTGCTATATTTTAGGATACATTATCTTAATTATAATTTTCTTTGCTTTATTTTTAACTTTAAACTTTTAAACTTTAAAATATAAAATACAAAATATAAATTATAAAATATTAAATACAAAATATAAAATACAAAATATAAAATATAAAATATAAATTATAAAATATATAATATATAATATAAAATATAAAATATAAAATATAAAATATAAAATATAAAATATTAAATACAAAATATAAAATATTAAATACAAAATATAAAATATAAATTATAAAATATAAAATATAAAATTTAAAATATAAATAAATAATATATAAAATATAAAATGTATAATATTATATATAAAACATAAAATATACAATATATAAAAATTAAAATTTCAAATATAAAATACAGAAATATAAAATCCATTAAAATTATCCCACTGTACTACACTAAAACATTGTAGATTATAAACAAATGGCTCTGCCCCCCATCTTATCAATCGACAACAGCTGAGAATAGAAATAAGTGAGAGTGCTCTAGGTGGGAGTGTCAGACTAGGAGATAGACTAAACTCGTCGATGAGTGGCAGTCAATCATGATAATTTCTAATATACATACGTGTATGTATGTACATATATTTATATACACATAGCAAACAGCACACATAGGCATGCGCTCTGCGTATTGCGCAGTTTATGCAGTGATGGAGTTTATGGACTTTAAATGAATTGTTGAATAACATTTCTTTGAGCAGTAATAATTTAAAAAAAAATTTGCAAGAGTTATGAAATGAGTTTCATATTTAAATTTATTGAAAGATATCAAAAGTCTAAAAAAAAAATATTAAATATATATAGAAATATATACGTATGTACGGTCACTGCTACATTACGTAAGCCTTCATCAAATTAATAGACCCTAGTTGTAATTTTCAATGGGTTCTGGGTACAAGAAAAGGTAAATAAATATCTGAGTAATTATAAATTATTAATGCAGATTTATTTTGCATTTTTTTATTATCATTATTATTATTTTTTTAAGAACGATAAAAAAAAAAAACGAAGGCAGCTCCAATACAATGAGTATGAAAATAATCAGCATTTATTATTGTCGTAGTCACTTAATGTAATCAGTTTTTGAAGTTTTGTTTTTGCTCTTGCATTATCAGTTGCATAATAAAAGCCCGAATTTCATCTATTTTTATTTGAATGTGCTTATCGC